TCTTGATCTGACAGGCTGAGATGAAAACTATCTGCAGCCTCCAGCCTTCCTCTTCTGATCTTCTCCCTGAACATGTTTTATTATTTTGCTTTGACTTAGCAGCTTTTGCCAGCCACAGAGCACTTCACAAGATCCCAAGCCACAGGCTCGGATTGGGGTGGGTGGTATCACAAATGAGTACAGATCCACACTGTCTTCAAGGAAGCATCTGCTCCTTGGAGTTAGAGTAATCTTACACTTGAACTGATTTTACTAAGGAATAATCAGTTTGTGGATATTACTGGTACACAGATGCCTACTCTGATGTAGGTGGGCTCTGGTTTTATACACTTTCTGTCCCATGGAGGTGGCCTATGCCTCTGGGTCGTCTAAGGAGGAATTAATCTTAGAGCAGTGCGAAAGACTCCAAGCATGCAAATGTAGCAAGACTCATTTAAAAGTGCAGCTGTTAGTGTGAGAAAAATTGAGAATCTGGCCAGTAGCAAATCTGCAATTAGAGGTTTCAGGATGTTAAGTGAATGCAAGAAACTTTTCTGCTTAAGCAAGAGCAGATTCAATATCCAGCTGATGTGTTTATCACAAATGTGGTAATACAGATGTCTGGCTTATTGGCTGATGTTTAGCCTAGTGTTCATAAATGACTGATACTTAATTAATTGAAGGCAGTAATACAGAAACCAATCTGCTGACAAAGATTCTTTAAGCCAGCAGTTGTCATGTTCATTCTGATCTCAGAGAGGCAAATTCTAAATTAATATCTTTTCTCAGACTAAGTAGAAATAAACAAGAAAGCAACAATAAAGGTAAAATCCCTGAAAAAAATGTTTTCATGCCTTTTATTCCCCCTCTGGGTAAGGACTGTGTTCAGAAATAATTTCATAATTTATTTGTAAATTTTTTTCAGGTTAGGACAGCAAATTTTCTGCAGTTATTGACAAATCAGGGTCAAGATACAATCTCTTCCCTTACATTTGACAGTACTCAAGAAGTAATCCCCATGTAATCAATAATTCTGTCTATACCAATAAATAAACTGCCTCAGGCTATGCTCTGGCCCTGGGGGCAGAGGCACAATGTGTCCACTTCTAAGAACACTAAGCACTGTTATCACTAGGACAGAGTAGATATACCAACCAGGAGTGGACCCTTTTCTATGCTGTTTCCCTGGCCATGCCCAGGCACTGTCCTGGAAGCCTCAACTGACAAAAACAATGCCGAGATTTGCCAAAACTTGGGGTTTAACAGTTGATGACTGATGGTTAGTGTTCAGTGTAGATTTGCCCAGTCTATGCAGTTAGGACACAGTCCAGATTTCAAACACAGGAGCATAGATTTTATGCCCTGGACTGAGGAAAGCATGAGCAATCTTTCTCCAGGATGTACCTCAAAAGTCTTCATCAAGACTTTGTATACCCAGCTTTGTTTTCCTACTCTGCACAGTCTATCTGCATGACCTTGGACAAGTCACTCTCTGGCTGGGCTGCAGACTGCAGCGTAGTGTAACGTAGCAGTAACTGTGAACAGGCTAGACAGTGTCCTCGAAGCAATGGGAGCCAGCATTTTCCTACAACCTGGTTCACCTCAGCTAGCCTACAATGACCCCTGTGTTGCCAGAGTGGATTTTAAACCCACCTCAGCCATTGGAAACCACACTGCAATCTGCGCTCTGAATATGAGTGCCTTGTCTCTGCTCCTTCTCTGGCAAGTGGAGTGACCAAGGCTTCCTGACTTACAGAGGGGCAGTGAAGATGGAAATATTCAGGGCTATAAGCTCTTCCAACAATTAAGTAATCATTATCCTTCACAGCCAGATTTCCTTAGGAAAAGTGAAGTAGTTTATCAGATATTGTAGTCCAGTAACAGCTGTTTCAAAACTAGAGCAGTTTGCTGAAACTAGTTTGCACGGTTCCCACAAAGTTCCTGTGAGAGACCTGACAACAGCTCACCCCCCAGTCAGCCTTCAGCCAATCTCACCTGAGAGAATCAAACCATTTTGGCCTCCATCAGGAGCTGAGACTAGGGACAAAGTGGAGCTGCTCACAAGGCTTGAGGGAAAGAAAAAACTACAAGATGATTTTGCCACTTCTGCAAAGAGAGGGAAAGGGCTTGGAACAGCTTGACATAGCCATTGTGATTCCCAAACCAATACAGGATGAGACTTGACCCATGTCAGCTGCAGACTAAACACATCTAGGCACCTCCATGATTTGTAAATCCCCATATTATTCTTTGAAGGACTTTATTCAATCTGAGACCTTTATTAAAAGAACAAGACAGAGCAAAATCTACCAGTATTAACCATGCAATGTGCCCTTTGGGAAAGTGAGATAACCTAGAAGATTCTGATGTGTCCTAATGGTGCAGGAAGGTTTAGCTGAGGAGAATCCTCATGGATGAGTGAATGTGATGAACACTGAATAAGGGCAGGCAGATCTGACCCTCTTGTTTGCAGTCCTATGAGATTTACCCACAATCACTCTTTTGTGTTACAGCTCAAGTATGAAGAAATAAAAAACTCACAGATACAGCCACAAGGGTTGTTTCCCTTTGCTGAATATCCAGAGACTGATCTACCCTAGTGGGTGCAGCATCTGAGATATATCTGGTTAAACACAACTAGACATCCCAAAATTAACAGCACAGGGCTGAGTTTCTACAGTCTCTGCTCAGAGGTGTAAAGAGAGGGAGGTCAGGAAATAGCCCGGGAGTCTGGATTAAAGCGAAATTTTGAAGGAGAGCAAGAGATATTTGCCCACAACTTCCTAACCCTTGATAGATGGGACAACGGAGATGACAGAGATGACCTAGCGAATTAATCCCTACAAAATAGTAATTTTATCCCAGCAGCTGAAGTCAAAGAGAGCGGAGGAGATGAGTCTCTGTGGACACACCATCACTGAAAACCAGCCCAGGACTGACCACAGATCCACAACAGAGTCCTTACCATAACAGAAGAAAAATTGTGTCAAAGCATGTTTCATTTTCTTAGTGAAAGCAGGAACTCTTCCTGTCCACAAAAATGGCCACATTGCTTGCTTTTCTCTCACGTGCAGTCACAGATTTTGGCGGCTTTACCTTCTTTTGCTGCGAAGTGGGTAGAAAGCTGACTGCTCTGCCCAGATGTCAACTGAGATACTTAAGGGCATTTATTCCTTTATCCAGAAGATGATACAAAACAGCAACTTGGAAGAGTGAAGGTGCCCGGCTAGTATGTGGCAGTACTTAGAGTCTGACATCTATGCTTTGGGAAAACATTTCTCTGTGACTTATCTGCCAATCACTTTTATCCCAATAAGTCACTAATCCAGACCATGTCATCTTTTCCTTTACTTTTATCTTAGAAAAAGGAGGAGCTGTAGGAACTCTTCTAGTAAAAAACCCCAACAATTCAGCCTATCCTAGTTTTGCCAAGCTCAGTTAGGGTTTCTCTAGAAAAAAACAAAAACTGGATTGAGAAAGTAGAATGACTATTTTTGCATAAAGAAAGTTTATAATGATGCTAGTCTAGATTGTCAGTGTTCTGTACTTTACTAGCTTAAACTTAACTTTAGAAATAAGTAAGATGAAAAGGAAGCACTTTAATTCTGCAATAGTGGGATTGTCTTTGCAGCAAACTAGAAGATAAAATTTGTTCAGGGATATCTAATCCAGAATAACTTCTTTGTCTGAGCACTCCTTAGGCTCAGGACTTTCAAGTAGCAGCAAGGACACATTTTCATTTCCACACACTTGAACAGCCACAACTCGGCACAAAGCAGTTACTGTAACATCTATAGCCATGGGACCAAATGCCAGCTGTCCCAACTGCCCTTTTTACTGAAGCAAAAAGACCAATAAAATGAATCTATGTCTCTGCGTCAGATTTTGGGACAGGGACTGACTTCACTTTTTTTTCTTCATCGTAAATGAACAGCAAGAAACAAGTTATAACATCAGGATCTAGGTGCTGGTACTCACAAGAGCACTACCTTCCCCATCCCCAAGGAAAAGGGGAACAGGTAACCCTAAAGATCTTACACGGTTTACAAGAAGGACTGTATCCTCTTCCCTATGACCTGAGCCATGAGTAACTGGCGCGTGCTAGGGAATTTGTTACACTCTGTTAAATAAAGCCTGCCTCTGGTGCAATGCCTAGGGGAGCATGCAGATATACTGTAATCCACAGAAACTTCTTTCACAAGCCACCTGCAAACTTTGCGCCTTATTTACTCACAGCAGGTTAGTCCTGGTTAGCTGGATTGCTCCAGATGAGTGGGAAAGCAGATGGGTACTTGTGTGCCAGGGAAACAGTCCTGAGATAATTTGTGCCAAATTGTTTATTCTTTTAATTGGAAGGACGGAAACTTCTTTCACCTTTTACCTTGTTTCACCTTTGCTGGAAGTCTCTAGCTGGTGGGATCCATCCCAAAACTCCAGCTCATCCACCAGCTGCAGAGTTATTAATTTTCACACAGAGAGCAAAAAAAAAAAATCCCACTTCCCTTCCCCTTTTTTGCATGCAGGTAAAGGAGGCAGGACACCTGAAATTGCTCTGGCCCAAACCTCCTGCTGCTCCTACAACACTGGCAGGAGCAGGAAGATACAGGAACTCACTGTGCCTTTGAGGAAAGCTTTTTCTGGCCACATTAAAGATAAATGATCCCACCACAGCAGTGAGGCTGGACAAGATGATAGTGCAATCCAGCTCTCAAACCCCCCACCCCAACCTCCTGTCCCTTTTGCCCCATGTACTGAACCTTCAAGGCATTGCAAGGTCTCCCGGTGCTCAGGCTGTTCTCTGCTCCCTGCTTCTCCTGCTTCAGTAATGTCCAGTCCCCCACCCTCCCATCTCACCCAGAACAATAGCAAGGCACCGGATTCAGCTGCTTCCCAAGGAATTCCCAGATCACACACATTTCAATAGAGAGAGAGAGAGATATGATTATATTTCTCTTCGCTGTTTAGGACAAGAAATGAAGTGCTGCCTCTTTAATTGGCAAAAGCATGCAGTAAGAGCATACCTTTAATTTAGTGTTGGGATAGCTCACTTGCACCCTGGCAGTTGTCTTATTGGAGAGGGCAGCCTGCCTCAGATCCTCTAGCACTGAAATAATATCATCCAGCACGCATTTCTTATCCTGATTTCTCAACACACACAGATGGGAAAAAGTATAATTATAGCCTTTGTAGTTCACCTTCATTTCCAGCACGGCTCGGTGGATCTGCAGGATCACATCAGCCTGATGCAAAATATTGCCTCCGGGTTTGGAGAGGAGAATCACCCTGCCATACCTCCCCGGGGTGTGCAAGTCCGAATACAGCTGGCTTTTGGATTGATCGAGGGAGAAAAGGCTGCTGGCTAAGCTCCTCTCGATCTTGGCCAGGCTGTGGCTGGGGGCTACCAGGCTCTCCAGGTCAGTGTCAGGCTGGAAGCGGTTGAGCAGGCTGAAGCCGAAGATGATGGTCAGGACTGCGGGCACAGTGAGGAAAAACACCGGATGCCTGCTCACGAATAAGCCCAGCTTGTAGAAAAACGACTGGAGCCCTCTGTGTATCACCTGCCGCAGCATCCTAGCCTGCAGATGCTCCTGGCCGTCTTAGAAAGCACATGTGACATGTGTAGCTCCTTACCCCTTCCTGCCAGTTTCCCTTTCTCTCTCCCTCTCTCTCTACTACTCCTTTAAAAGACTGCAGCAAGTTGCAGCAAGACAGCCAAATATTGATCAATGGGGTGTGTGTGTGCGTGCGGGTGTGTGTGTGTGCTGGGGGTGGAAGGGACCGGGCAGGGGAGGGAGGAGGAGGAGAGGGGGGGTCCTTGCCTTTTTTTTCCTCTTTCTCTTTT